AAACTTCTTAAAACTTCCTATTTCAGACTTCCTTGGGAGAATGCATTTCTCACAACGCCCTTCTTCACAGGGAAGACACGACAAATTGTGCTGTTTACACAGTAAACACACCAAAAAAACCTTCCCAAACAGCATTGAGAAAAGCATCACAACTGTTCCTTCCTTTAGCCAGACTATTTTTAAATCGAAACCAATAACAAGCAGAGGAGGACTAAGGCAGAGATTAATGATCCTCCATACTTTTCAGCTTTATAAAGCTACTTTTATAGCATTCAGGCAAATTGTACAGTGACTGACATGAACCAAATGACAGTAATCTGTCACTATTTCACATCTCCCACTAGGCTGACTGAAATAGTTATTTATGAACCTTACACTTCAATGGTCACTTTGACGACTAAACCGTAAATTAGAATGTAAAGTGAATATAAATTTGATTTTAGAGTAACAACAAATTGTCAGCAGAGTGGGATGTTATTTAATTTCTATCGACACACTATGAAAAAGTCAGCAATACCAAGATGCGCTACATCATAATCACCCCCAAACTTAGCAAAAAAATGTACGCTACATCTCACGCTTGCTTCACTGCTTCTGTATTTAAAAATAAAAGCACTTTATATCATGCTTGGTTAGTTTTAAATATAAAGTCTTAATAATGTCAGATGACTTCATTACTTAGATCTTCAATTAAACAGGGAGCAAGAATGAATTTTTTTCCACGGAGCATGATTAAATTTGACAGCAAGTAAATATTAATATGAATGTAGATGCTAAGGCTTTTAATAGTCCTGACGAAAAGCTTACTTTTAAGAGAATGTTGCTATTTTTCCAACATTTATCTCTTGCTTTACAGCTGAAAGTGAGATGACACTGAACATAATAGAAATTCTGCAAAGAACAACTGTTCTCAGTTTTTTAGAAAACTTTTTTCTGGGGGGAGGGGTGAGGGGGAATGACTCAAAAAAATAATCCTTATTACCCAAACATCAAATCTTGCAGGGACACCTGTGTCAAAAAATTATCTTGATAAACTAATTTTCTTTTATCAGATTATTTTTCTGTTAAAAAGTTCCATTGCCTACTCTGTCACTGCGTGTGTTACTGTCTGCTGCTCCCACAAACATAGAAGATAAACACATACACCCTTCCAAAACGTAATGCAGCATGATTATACTTTGTCTGGAAAATTTCTAGAAGCGTGACACACAAGAGATACTTCAACCTAAGCTTCACTGTTTTAGCAGCGTTAAAAATGGGAGGTTGTGTTGGACACTTTAATATTTCTTATTGTTCAAGTATATTTTTCCAGAAATTCTCACACGGAATACCAAACTGTGATTCAATTTAAAACTACTTTAGCTTTATCTGATTGGTTTTGCATGTGGGAGAAGCCCCTTAAATAGCTGAGATTTGAAACAAAGCAGCAAAACCCTGCAGGTTTAGCAATAACTGAGGCCGCTCTGTATTATTCTGTTCTGCATTATGTCCCAGTGACAAAGATACCCTCCAAACAACAAACGCATAACAGAAAGATAGGTACTTACTGTTGTTTGCTTAACAACAGTTTGTTTATAATATATTTGTATTAAACACTAGTTTTCCATGCTTGCAAAACTAAAACATATGTGGAGAGATCTTCCACATTCTGAAAATTCAGACTGTGCTATTCCAGGACACTAGAACCCTACGTGCTCTTTTTGACTCTGAACATCTTCCCAGCTGAAAAATTCACACCTACATATAAAACATTTTAAAGTAAGATTTATGTATTACGTGGTAGAGCAAAATGTGGCTCTCAACGACTTCTCTCAGTCTTGAGTCAAGAAATATTTCTTATGTCTTTGCCATTACTACAAAGTAGCAAAATGGAAAAAAAAAAGTAGCAGATTAAAATGGTTCTGCCGGTATGATGAAAAAAGCAGAATCCTTGCTAGAAGAAAATAACAAATCCTGTCTAACCTTTCAGTGCTGTCATTTTCTTGAATGAAGAATTACACGCACAACATTTTTAGCAGCGCAAAGAACAGCTGCCTACTGTTCACACGCATGCTTGTTGGAGATCCTTGTGTACGTACAGGCACGCGTACGTGTTTATGTATGATCAAAATGTTCACTGGCAACTAAGGAACACAAAACATCCTTAGGCCCAACGACTTCACAAAGGGCAGCGAGCGGGTGTACCAGTCAGATTAACCAAGCCTGCCTGCTCTTCCTACTCTTTCCAAGGCAGCTGAAAGACCTACCTGATGCTGAGGGGCTATCTTTGGCTAAAAGAAAACCTCATAAAAGGTGCAAGACAAGACCCACATGCTAGAAGGAAAAGAGTCTGCCCTGTCAAGAGTCTGTTTTACAGAAATGGTATCTTTTTTCAGGTTCTACAATAACAAGCTAATCTGTGCGTTCACAGGAGTCAGACGAGAGAGGAGTTTTATTTTAGCATCTGTCCCAGACTTATTATGGCCCAGATGAGTCAGGAGAAGCATGTTTTGTTGAAAGAAAAGCTGGAAAGCTTTTATTTTAGCAAGACTTACCCATCATCTGATTTAGAACTGCCTTGTAACATTTAGGCTCACAGAACCAGCGAGAGACAAATCCTAACCACATGAAGTCAGGGTACCCCGAACATCAAGGTACTACAAATCAGCATCCTCATTTGAGCACTCCAGATACAATCTATAAAGCAAGAACAGTATTTCCCACCTATTTCAAGAGCTTTGATACCTTGAAATTGAACTCTTTTCAGAAAAAGGAACTACTTGCTATTGTAAGAGTTGTGCCAAGTAGGTCCTAGTTAAGGTATTTTAAAACAAAAATAAATTTAGTACACCTCAGTCAGTGGTAGCCTCACTAATGTTCTCCCGATTTATCAAAGATACAGTGTTTACATTCTTACTTATAACCAGCACATAACATTTTCTGACACGCTGACAGGAATTTATCTTAGTCGTCAAAGATACAGTGTTTACATTCTTACTTACAACCAGCACATAACATTTTCTGACATGCTGACAGGAATTTATCTTAGTCACAACCCAGCAGAGATTTTCTGTAGCACTTTACTACGGGATATCCCACTTCCACAAACTGTTACTTCTTCGATGCCAATTTCTGTAAGTGGCAGGATGTGACCCTGTGCATTCTTGCCTTTTGCCACCCTCTGTGACGGATGTATTTCTCCTGTTTGCACGAACACAACTTCAGTCCAGGCAGATGCTCAGCAAGTAGGCCTAACCAAAGTTAATCCTATCAGTGAGAACTCAGCACTAGCCTCAGAAAATCCCAGTTTGGCTGGAGAATGGGCTGACATATGGCCAAAACTGCATGGGCACAGCAGAAAATCTGAGTACAGATCAACCACTTCACACTACAAATATCTGCAGCCATCCGGGTCTGTTGTGCTCTCGCTCCACGGCATCTGGCTGCGTGGTGGTGATCTCCCCTTGAGTAGGGACGCCCCTCAAGGTCACCCCTCGAGGCTCAGAGATCCCTTATCTGACACCAGACATTGATGAGTTGGTAAGTGACATTTTTTCCATGCATGTAACATTTAAGATACATACAATAAGCTTAAGCAATGATCTTTGTATCCCATCCTAACTTTAAGTGCAGTAAGAGTATTGACCGCAATCCATCTGTACTTATTAAATATTTTGCATACCTAAATTTACTAATTAGAACTCAGCAATCTAACTGCTAGCTCAGTGACCTCTGGCTCTTCTCCTGTGACACCCCCTCGTTCACTGTCTTCTCCAGCCTCTAATACTCCCCTGGAGAATATTGAATAGCAAGGCTCTCCAGGATAAAACCTCAACAAGAAGAGCTGAAAATGCTACTCACACCTACAGAAATGAGAAAACACACCCCAACAGTTAAATATTATTGCATGGAATTAATCCAATCCGAACTGCTGCTTCGAGAAACTCTTAAAATACAAAAATAGTGTTTGGGTTAAAAAAAGATAGCAAAGCTATGGCAGCACAAAACAACACCTGTTCCTGGAAGAAGAAATTCCAAAGAAATAATTTAACATGCAGTAAAATATTCGTACTTAATTGCCAAATCAAAGGGCCCAGCTTCCTACTGAAATAAAAATCCAGCTAACTGTCCTGCTGGTTGTTAAAAGATTCATCCTAAAACAGACCATGGAGGAACAGGTGTACATATTCTTTTGATATTTAATAACAGTATCACTGAGCTCTGACCGGTGTCAGTAAGTGCAGATTTTGCAAGGAGGAATAGCTTAAGCATGGCAAGTGCAGGCATAGAAGCTTGCTTTCTTCAAATTTCCAGGGGTCACTGTAGACAGTGGTTACATATGATAAGTAATAAAGTATCTGAAGTTCAACGAAGTATAATTCATGTCTAAATAATACGGTACCCAGTGGAAGGAACAGAGTTGCTATAAATGCTACTCAAAGTCAGAGAGAACAGTCAGTGACTCAGCTTCTTCCAAAGACAGATCCCTCGCCCTGCTTGGACACATCTAGCCAGCATTTACTTCATTCACTTTAGCATTTTCTTGTTCTGATACTGTTCTAACACTGTATCTGGAGGCGGGCAAAAAGAAACACAGAAGGCAAGACTATTCGGAGTGAGCGTCCCAGCCACCCTTCTAAACCCATGATGGAAAGAGGAAAGTGTGAGCACAGGAATCGAACACACACGAGCTGGAGCAAACAGACTCTCAGGAAAATTAGGGCAGAACAGAGAAGCAGAGCCAAGAGACAGTAAAACAAACAGCAGAAACGGTAACAGCAGAGCATTTACACTTTTGACAGCAAGGCCTGTTCCAGTTAAGGGAACAAACAGCCCTAATTCCCCTACTGCAGCCATCACGGATAAACGGGTATTTCCCACCCTCTCGAACTCAGACATACGAAACCTGCTGTTCATCCAGGGGTGTTCTGAGCAAGGATCTGTTTTTTTCTGTCTGTAGCGGCCTAAGACAGTGAAGTGAGGAATGTACAACTCTTAGATAAAATGAGAAATAAACGTACCTGCCGATGAATGACCTCTAGGTTTGCTTTGGCTTTATTTACTAGTTCTTCTATTTTTTCAGAATCCTTTATATTCTTGTTTTCTCTGAAGGCATCTCTTATCCTTCTGATGGCATACATTCTAAACACAAACAATAAGATGACGTGTATTCATAGGTGTGCCACAGTTTATGACATTTCAACATTCTTGAAAATACGCAATTTTTAAAAATACATATACACAGACATACATATTTTGCCCAGTTTTATATACATATTTTTTATTCAGGGTCTTGTTTTGCCTGAGTTGAAACAGAAACCAGATTCTTTAATCAAAAATAGTGGGTTTACAGGAAGTTATTGCAGAAAACTTTCGTATTTGACCTATCAGTCCAGTCATTGCTGCTTGTTTTTGCTATAAACATACAGTGGGATGCCCGGTATGGACACTGCCAAGCTCAAGAACATAACAAAAAGCCTGAGAACCAAAAAGCCATCCCCCAAATTATTTTGAATCAGTGTGACAGTTCTTACTCTGCATACTCTAACAGCCATTGAAATAACCACTCAATACATTATGTTATTACTAGTTCTGACTTTGTAATCTAGTAGTCAAAGGTAGATTGCTGGACCAACCATAAAAAAATAAAAAAGGGCTCCTTCCCTGTCACCCCTTTCCCCTCCTGACAAAGTATATTTCACCCCTCAGCCCAACACCTCCGCATCCACTTCCCCACTGATAACAGCACAGTCTCTGCAAGCAGGAAGAGCTTACCATCTCTGCTTTCAGAGAGGACGGTCCAAAGCTGCAGCTACCTCCAAATATCTCCTTTCTTTTCAAACCAGTAAAGAACCTTTAGGCACTCTGTAGTGTACGGCTCTATAAAACAGGGCCAATTTCAACCTTAAAATAAAATTTTCAGACTGAGCAGCGATACTTTCATTAGATGTGTGCTTGGGAGGGGAAGGAAAAATGGCAGTAGACTGATGCTGCTCGGCTGTCTTGATAAGGTCCCACTTCCCTACCCCCACATCACATCAGTGTTGTTTTTACTACGGAAACTAAAACCCTATGTGCGGCGCTGGAAGGAAAAAAACCAGGCTGCTGCAAACACCACAAGCAGTGTAACAATTCAACAAACATTTTCAATCTTGTGTAGAAGGCAAACACGAGGCACAAAATTGTCTGAAACACGATCATCAAAAAACTCCAAAGACTATGCTGAAAAATAACACCACTGCGGGAGAAGGCTGAGGAGGGGCGAGGAACAGGCAGCGGGGCTCCGTGCCGTGAGATGGGGCTGTGCAGCTCCTAACGCGGCCCCCACCAGCCCAGCCCCGCGTTCTCTGCGTGAGCTCATACATAGCACACCGCAATCGCAGGGCTCGGCACCGTGATGGCGTGCCACCCTGCTGCCGCGCACCGGCAGATGGTGCGTGCTTTTAATTAGGGCCTGTTCACCTATAATGTGACACTGGGGTGCGTGAGTGTGTCTGTGAAGTTAATAGAAGCTATTAAATATGGAAGCTCATTCTCATCAGCAGCTGCTGTCCTAGCAAGATTCGAAGGGAAAGCTGCTTATTTCTTCCAGAAAGGAAACAACCCCAAATCAGTAAGACAGAGCGTAATTTTGTTGCTTGATAATGGATGGATTTCAAATCATCCCATGTACATATGTAGGGTTAAACTCTACAGAAATATACAATATTTTCTGTAAGAAAGGAAGGGTTTCCAAAAGATAAAGACCTTTTTTATATATATGTATTTTTTTTTAAGCTTAAAAGAAAAAGCAACAATAACAAACAGCAAGTATCCATTACTGGGTACAAGTCTTTCAAAATGCAATACAAATCAGTAAATGCTGTCTCCATAAAAAAAGACAGCTGGGACTAAACCAAATTCTTCTTCAGTATAACACCTACAGACTGGTTTTCTGTTGTTTTGGACATATGGTGCATTAATTGTTACATTTTTCTCTCTTTCTCTCACTACACCCAACAGTGGTTGAGAAAGAAACATACTTAGAAAACATCATCAGACCAGTTTCTACCTACAGTCAGAAAGATGCACTGTTTTTTCCTTTTACAATTTCTTTAAACCTTTACGAATATTAACATCCAAAAGAAGTTACATAGGCTTTAACACAATCTTGATTCTACAACTGCATCAATCCCTCTCCAGTATTCTCTAAACACACTTCAAAGCCTAACTCTATATGCTGGTTCTAATCTTTACTAAGGTCCCATTGAGACTCAATGTATCACTTAAAATAAGGATGAGCTGAACTTAAAGCTCAAACCCAATACTATAACGACTGTAAAACATCCTTTCACCATCACTCAAATTCTTTCAAAATTATATAAACAAATTGGCAGGTTTGGGGGTTGGTGTGTGGTTTTTTTTTTTTAAAGAACAGTTTTTTATATGCAACAACTGTTGTGATCAGTGTCGATTTCAAACCTCAATACTCTCTGAGTACTCCTCAATACTCTCTTCAAAAGTTTCCGAACTAAGTATGTACTAAAATCTAACACTGACATTCGGGCTGTGACATTGTCGCACGTCCGTGAACAACCCAGCTCTTTTGGAAGTACAGTAACGTGTGTAGCAACACGTAGCACAAACACATATGAAAAGAATTTGTCCACTTGGACACAGAGCTGTTGAGTTTTTTAAAGAGCATTACTCCGAAGTTCCTCTGTTTGCTGAACAGACTGGTCAGCTGATCAGTCACTCTAATGGCGTGTATTTTCAGCTCAATAAGCATAAACACCAAAACCAACCAAATACCATCTGAAGGCATAGCTCGAAACGCCAGTGGCAGAGAATATACAGCTATCTTCATAAAACTTCACAACACTAACCTAAAAGAAGCACTATCTGAAGACAGAGTGACAGATGAAAAGCACACCACCAAGTGACATAGTTGCCGTACCTTACGGATGATTCCTTACTCAAGCTGGCACAAAGGAGCTGAGGGCACACAGCACTGCAACAAGCTGAAGCCAACGTGAGTGAAGGAGAGCTGCTGCAATTTTGCCACCCTCCCTGGTAGGCACAAACCCTCCTTCTGCCTCCCTCAGACCAGCACAGCCAGTCTGATATTTGGCCCTGCGGTGAGCCAGTCCTTGGTAACTGGACAGAAGTCCAAGCTACTAAAAGAATGAACTTCTTTTTTTGTTGTTCTGTTTTGGGTTTTTTTCCTGGGTTAGTGAGCTCCATCAGCTCTGCATGGGACTGGATGAGGGAACGCAGCAGCAGTGATTCAGATGGCCACAGTTTGCCATAGATCCCACGCAGAGAGGCTCAGCAAGCTGCACAGACAAAGGGGACTCTGCAGCAAGAAGGCACCAAGCAAGCACTGCAGAGAAACAGACTGGGAAAGCAATTCTGTGTACAGCACCCTCGCACAGCTCCTTCAGACCTTTGGGAGAGGTCCGAGGAATGCAGCAGTGCTCATTAAGAAACATCACTGCAAATGAAAACTCAAACAGCATTTCACAACCTACTATTTTTTCACCACTCTTCAGAAACAGATACTGAAATATGGCCAAAAGATGCAACGAGGCATTTTCTTTTGTCATTCAAGCACATTGAAATTCTAATAGAGACCACCTTTGATTTTGTCTTCTGCAAAGACCATCTAGCAAGCTAGTGACAGCAGGAGCCAAGCAAGAGTACACAGCTGAATATATTCCGTTAGCTCTCGCTTACATACACACACTCAAACACTTTTCACAATCCCTACTTACGTGCATCTGTTACTCAGTTAAATCCCAGTTAAATCAAAAGTGTGCACTCAATGGGTAACAGATTCAGCGTGATGGCTTCAGACCAAAGCCACCGCAGGTGGATGGCTATGCAAGGTAACAGATGCATGGAAGTAGAAAATAGAAGTGCTTGGGGGTTAATGCAAGAACCGCAGGTGGATGGCTATGCAAGGTAACAGACGCATGGAAGTAGAAAATAGAAGTGGTTGGGGGTTAATGCAAGAATGCCAGGGCCAAAGCATTACAACAGACTCACAGGGAATGGGCACAACCTGCTAACGTTAAGAGACAACAGTGCCCCCAAATAACAGTAAAAACCACAGAGTTATGGTTAGAAAACCGTCTTTTTCCTAATACTCAGTCTTCCACCTCTACCTGCAAAGTCTTCATCTTTTTCCTTCCCCTGAAGCACAAACAAAAACCTAACATGTGTCCTCATAAAAATGAAGCCTACAAGAAGTGAAGTCTGAAACAATGACTATTAAAGTAAATTAAATCACAACAGAGGTACTTCAGAAAACTATTGCTGCATGGGGAATTTAGACATTTTCATTTCAAAATGTTTACTTATGTCACACCCAACCAGAAAATAAAAAATTAGTTTCCTTTTCAAGTTTTCACTTTCGTATCTTTATGCTTTGCTAACGTAGAGTGTAAGGAAACAAGCTGAAACTGCACAGGCATGCTTGCTTCTAACTACACCACGCTATGCCTTCAAAATAAACCTGGCCAAGCAACGTCTCCCCAGCACCACCTTGCATTTAACACTCTCACAACATGCTACAGGGTTAAGTCATCTTTCAAAGACAGCTTTATAAATGCTTTGGCGTTTTGTCTTTGCGACTATGAACAAAAATGATGTATTAATGGATCACATCACAGTTACAGGCAACACACTGTGAAACCTCACAGTTATTATAAATCATTAGTCATTGAGCACGTACACAAAGATAGAAGTGGAGGATTGTGGTACGCAACCCTGCACACAAAACAGATTACAAGCAAGGAGGCCAGCAAGTTAGAATATTCAAGACTTTAAAGAAAGAAATAAAGTAAAATGCATTTTTCCTTATTAGCTTAAGTTAGACTCAATAATAAATTAAGGTGAACAATCAGTAGCTAATCCCTAGGAAGCCCACTGCGGTTACTAATTCTGAAATGAAGTATATGATGCTTTTACTTAAGGACAAAATATGCAAAAATGAGATAATGATACACAATACAATATTATTTAATAAAAAGGATCCCTCACTTGACATAAGTTCATTGTTCCCTTTCACTAACTGTATTTTCTTACCACCTCTCCCATCCAACTAACATCTATTAACTTAAGGTAGCAACAACATCAATTTTTAGAATTTACCATTATTACTAGCAAAATGTGTACCAGATGAGGTTTGCCTAACCAAATTTTCAGAATTACATATAATTGAAAAATTGAAAGTTTTCATAATAAAAAAATAATCTGCAGCAAATTAATTTTAGCTTGCCATAATATTTTTTTAGTATTGGTGAGGATGCCTCCATGTACAGAATTACTTCAGAGGGAAGGATTATTCCTATACATATACACATACATATTTCCACATATTTGTATGCATTTACATTCTTTTTTCCTGTATAAAGGTCTCCTTAAAAGTCACTAATAAGGGTGAAGCAAAACCTGCAGGCAATTACCATTTAACACCAAAAAAAGACACATTTGACAACAAATGTATGCTTGAGACTGAGAGGCAAGTACTTCATACGGAAGCAGTTATGATTTGTCTCGGTAAACACAGGACCAACAGAAGGGTGTGGATGCCAAGTTTTAATCCGCAAGGCATCCCTCAAACTCCGTCACCAGACACGCTTTGAGCACTGCCACCTCAAGTTACAGCACAGTACCGATAACTGCCTGTTCTCTACAAAGCAAAGCAAAGCCTCGATTTCCTTGGGGAGCCAGGGGTGGTGGCTGGAAGCTGCGAGGGGAGCAGGGGGGAAGACAGACACAGAAAAATCTGCCATTGGTTAAAAAGCTGGAAAACTTTGTATCAAAAAAAAAAAAAATCTTTCTAGCACGGACTGTTGGTGAATCCAGTATTATTTCCTTGAATTTTCTAATCAATCACAAATCCAAAAAATCTACAGAATGAAACCTACAAGCCACTGCTTGGTTTCTCTGTTCATATACCAAACATGAGTTCCAATGGAATCGCCAAGAAATATGTCCAGAAAAGAACAGCACTAGAGATACTTTATGTGAGAGAATTGCCCCGAAAGAATATAGGGCAGGGACAAAAATATGGAGACCTAAGCCCTTCTGTTACGGGGGAAATGCTACAGTGAGCCATTACAGGAAGTAATAACAGTAATAGAAAAGCTACTGCTCGCTTTTTCTCCCCACGAAAAATTGTCTTCAGCATTTCAGAAACCTATTCTTCAAAAGTTCAGCAACTGGACAGCCATAAATGCCAAGACATTTGTTGACAGCATAAGAAAACACACTTGAGTGAGTGACCTGGTGACTGTGGCCAAGTGGATACTGTACAATCAGATACAAGGATTTGTAACAACTTATTTCTAAAGCAAATCTTGCTACTTTGCATCCCATATCTCTAAAACTTGCTCTGATAAAAACTCCAATCTTCTCAGCACAAGTTGCCCTAGATGAGAAAGAGAAAAAGCTTCTAACATGCATGTCTATTTCAAAATAGTTTCCTTTCATTTTCTTTAACCAACCCAAAAATGGAAAATGCCTCCCCACGTTTATACATACAGACTTGCAATTGTTTTTAGGAATGGAGGACTTATTCTTCGGACTGCATCCTGTCATCAGTTTGTGCCTGCACCCATTTCAAAGCAGAGGGCACAGACGACCACCTGATCAACAGCATCACAGAATTATTCAGGTCAGAAAGCAGCTCAGGAGGTCTCTAGTCCCA